CGCAAAATCGATACTCGGTAACAAGGGACACAAATATAAACATATAATCGCGCCCCTAGTATCACATGCGTCGAGCGATAAAGTGGCCGGAAAAGGTGCATTATATGCATCTCAAGCTATGATGAACATAAATGACAACAATATCGATTACGTGCATTGGGATGATCCCAACGAGCTGGTGGATCGTTTGCGATTGCTTGACGCTTCGCGCCAAGTCGGCAACAACGCTCATGACAACGAAATTTTATCGATTATCGAAGAACTCCGCGAAGCTGGTATTATAAATTAAACAGCGCTGCACTGACACGAGTCAGTCAGTCAGTCAATCGTCAGCCAGTCGAGAGCATCGACATAGCTTGCTCCGAAATGTCGACGCATAAGTTTGGAGTATTGCCAGACAGCAATAGTTCTCCGATCGAAGCGCATCAATGGAATGAACATGTTGAAGATTACATACATGAAAATGCTCTTTGTTTAAACGCTGCCAAAGTTTTCGACGCAAAGTCGCGCAAGATACAACATGTAGCGCAACCTGAAGCCGACAGTGACGTTGCAACCAAACAATACGTGGAAGAATGTGTTGCAGGTGTCAGATATCATTTAAACAACGTTGCAACCAAACGATATGTACATGAAAATGCCCTTTGTCTAACCGCCAATAGTAAAGGTCGTGATGGCAAATGTTTCGATGCAAAAATGCATGCGATACATAATGTACCGCAGCCGGAAGCCTTCAATGACGCTGCGCACAAATATTATGTGGATGAGAGTATAAAGTCTGTAAAACTTATGTTGCATGAAAGTAACGTTGAGAAGAAACAGTATATCGATGAGAATATAAATGCTGTAAAGCTTCTACTGCATGAGAGTAACGTTGAGATGAAGCAGTATGTAGATGAGAATGTTAAAAAATTGAAGGATTGGCTGGAAGACTACCGGAGAAAAAACATACAGAGCATAAATAGCATTCATGAGAACATAGACCAAATTTTAGACTGGACACGCTCAGAGATAAAGAAATCAGCGGAAATATAAAAGTAGAATATATTTTTACCTGTGTGTCCCCTTCGCTTTCGAACTCGAAAAGTTAAGTTGGGTTTTGTTACAACGAATTGTAGATCGCAGGGGAGAGAAAAGAGGTGGGGAGAAAGGAATATACAACATTTTTATAAAATAAATTCACATTTTATTTTTGAAGTTACATTCGTAGTTTTGCAAACACTCGTAGCATTCTGCGTTTGTTATAATCTCGTGTATAATTTCATTTAAATGAATCGTAGTCAATTCACGGAATACAATATTAAAATATGTGTCTAAAAATTGTAAATTTTTCATTTGCCGTCGTACATTTTCCTCGATTTCGCGATATTTATCAACGAGCGTCCGTTTTACGAAATCTTCGTTTACACCTTCCTTCGTGAGATTAAGTTCTATTTCGCCTACTAAAATATATTTGCAATTACTCACAAGAGCGGCAACCGCTTGTAAATGTTCGTATCTAGCATCGATACATTTTGTGACAGTTTGCAGACCATCGAAAGATGTCTTCTGCATTATAATATTCTCCGTATACAGCTTATGCTTCTTCAGCGGCGGTTGCTTCAGATGCGTAGACTCCTCCGATGTCTTCTTCGCAGGTCCGCTCTCGTCCAGCATTTTCCCTCGCTGACTCACCATTACAGCTCGTGCACCGTACGCTGAGGTAAAGTTGATGCTGATATTGTTGATGATGATAGGGGTTGGTGTATTCTTATTTTCCCCACACAAATAAGAATTTGCAGAGGGTATAATATCTTTAAACTTCTCCCACGTATTCAAATCAAGGAGAATTCCTGAAGACGTGTTCCCCATGATCCTGATCGTTGGCTCAAATGGACCCATGTCGTACGTGGTGCGCAATCCAACCTGCATCCTCTTAGTGTCCGAATTGTTGAGCGCGTACGTCGTACATAGAAGCATGTTACGGACGTTTCCCACTTTTGTAGAGAGACTGCTCGTCTTCTTCGACGTCTTCTTGAGAGCGGTGTCCACGTTAGCGCCGAACATTTTTCTTCCAAGAACTTGTTAATAACTTGTAAAGAACTTGTAATAACGAGAACTAGCTATGCTGCAAGTAGGAGCAACGAAGCTTGAATGCTTCGCCAGTCTCAACACCGTATGTCTTTCCCCGTAGAGAATAGAGAAAGTAGTGGGGATGGTGATGCGCAGACGTAAAAGGTCTACAATTACTTATCTTTTTCAAAATGATAAGATATAGTTTTTATATTTACTTAGAATGGAGAGATAGACTACCGTATCAATACCATAATTTTAGACTGGACACGCTCAGAGATAAAGAAATCAGGGGAAATTTAAAAGTAGAATATTACAGTTAAATTGACATATAGTATCAACATAGCGAGAGACGGATCATCACAAGCTGCAATGGCGAAGCAATCATCAAAATTTAACAAAAAGAAGAAAAGTTCAGAGAAGCAGCTCATCGGTAACGAAAAGCATCGGTTGGTGGAGGAGTTGCACGCTCCAGCGAGAAGATATTTTCCCCGTAGACGCGTCATAGTACGCGGATATGATGATCTTTGGCAAGCTGACTTGGTAGAGATGCGTCCTTACTCGCGATTCAATAGAGGCTACCACTATATACTCACTATTATCGATGTGTTGAGCAAATATGCGTGGGCTGTACCGATGAAGAGCAAGAGCGGTAAAGAAGCAGTGGCAGTGTTCGCCAGGATATTTCAAGAATCTGGAAGATGTCCAAAAAATTTGCAAACGGACCAGGGAAAAGAATTTTATAATGCGGATTTGCAGAAACTCCTTAAAAAACACAGTATCAATCATTATTCTACGTATCGGTAATGAAGGCATCTGTTGTGGAACGATTCAACCGCACGTTAAAGAACGACATGTGAAAAATGTTTACGTTGAATGGAACATACAAATGGATCGACTCGTTACCACACCTTATCATGGAGTACAACACACGGAAACATCGAACTATCGGCATGCGTCCTATCGATGTGACACCCGAAATCGCTGATAAGCTCCTACACACAGTCTACAACAACGTAAAGATCGCTGCGCCTGCGAGATTCAAAGTGGGGGATCTGGTACGCGTGAGCAAGTTCAAAACCATCTTTGAAAAAGGCTATACACCGAATTGGACAACCGAAGTGTTTAAAATCGTCAAAGTGCAGACAACTAATCCAGCGACCTATCTGCTCGAGGATTCTCGCGGAAAGTCTATTGCTGGAGGATTTTACGAATACGAACTGCATCGCGCTGCTAATCCTGACGTTTATCTCGTGGAAAAGGTGTTGCGAAAAAGCGGCGACAAGGTTTTAGTGAAATGGTTGGGATTTGATAATTCGCACAACTCTTGGATATACAAAGAAAATGTATTGTAACCAATTCTTTGTTATAAACACTTTTTTATTACAATATCCTAAACAGCTTGTAATAAACCATCTTTTATTATAGTTAACAATATTTCTTACAAACAAATATATATACAATGATCGCTTTTCATTTTACAATATACATGTATGCACAATGATCGCTTTTTAGTTTACAATTGTATCCTGTAATGTCCCCATGGTAAAGTGTCTGTTGAGTTCGGTACGATATACCGCTTGTCACCATACGGACTCAGAGCAGTTTTCAGTTCGGACACGGTGTAGACTTTGTGCATTTTGGATCGTATGCATGACTGACGACGTTGCTTTTCGACCTCATCTCTCAGACACTGCATATAATCATCAAACGTTATAGTTCGCGCTACGACATTGGTCTTCACACCTTTCGCCTTCTTCGTGTCATTTTTGCTGTCTACCTTTAGCGCGTACATCTTTGCTCTGAGCCCGACGAATTCCGTCATAATCGCTCCGTCATTTTCATCTTTCATCAGACCTGGTACCTTTTTGTTGACAAGCGGTATACCGTACGCATTATCAGCGGGATAATCACTCGTATCAAACTTAGAAATATCACGTTTCATGTGCTCGAAAATATCATCACATTGCATATGGTAGATTAAACTGTCAGTATCGATGTACATTACTTTACATCTGTTCTGATACAGAGGAGACATGTACTCGTGATGAAATTCGTACAAGCAGATCTTGGATATGTCAAGGATACACATACCCACATAGATCGGCTTGTTGAATTTCACCTCAAGTTTACGTAGCTCAATGGCGATTAAATTTTCCGAAAAGACACTTCTGCTATGAAAATTTGGTCTCGCAATCATTGCCTCAGCACCGTATCGTCCATCCCATTTTGTCAATAGTTTTACGTCTACGTGATTGCGAACGTTTTCCATAGTTTTACCGAACACCGCGTTGTTCATCAATTTGTACAAACTTTTCTCGAAATCGTTTGTCGCGCGTGTTCTAAACTGCGTATTCAGTTCGATATAATCGCGGAGCCATGGAGATTGAGCAAATTTGAGTATGCGGTGTATCTTTCCAATACGAAGACCGTGACGCGTGCACTGCTGCAGGTTGCGATAATGAATCACATAACGCTGCTTATCGCATAAGGTTGCGAGAAGCTTGTCCTGCTTTTTGTTTGGCGGTTTGCCCCGCGTCGGACAGAACGGTAGGTCAGTGTGCGCGTCGTGCAGATGTTGCTGATACTCTAAGTCAATCTCCAGAATGTAACCTATAGATGAATCTAGTGCGATTGATGATACGTCGAAATTCGATACATCATCGACCCATCGAAATTCGGCGTATGGCAACTGTTGACACATTGCCCAACCATACAAGTTATTTACATCGAAGTACATCAAATATGATGATGGTTGCAATGGATCGTAAGACTGCATGTACTTGTTATTGGCTTTTGCATATCTACCGGAACATTGACTGAGGCCACCGCGAATACCGCGCTCGATGAACATGACCATATCGATATCAGTGAGCAGTTCGAAATTAACGCCCGTATGCTTCAACATAGCATCCCACGTAAAACCAGGCAAAGTGTAATACGCGGGATCTAACCCATAACTTTTGATACAACTATTGGGGAAATTTTCAAAAATATCGGCCAGCAACAAGACAGCAATCTTCAGATACAAGTTGCTATATTCACCTAAGGTTTGAATGGCGAACCGTTGCCAGATGTTCGTGGCGTGCGCGTAATCGCTCTCAGATACCGTGTCACCCGTCAACGAACTGTAAAATGACTCGCGCGGCGGTAAACACCGATCCTGCAGTTTGTCCGCGCAATCAAGGTATTCGTACGGAAAGACCCCCTTTCGCGTCAATAAATCAAAATCCTTGTCGGACAAATCTGAAAATTCGGACCGAACAATTTTTAATTTGTCGTTGTCGAGAAAAGACGCCAATTTATCGAGACTACTACTGAGAAATTTGTACGAATCGATGAACCGCAATTGTATACAATTTTTCCATTTATTCTTACTATCCATCATGTTTCCTACAGTCTTTGTAAATGAAATATATTTCTCTTTGGTTATCGGTAGTACAGTGATTGAACCTTCGAACGCGGTTGCTATATCTTTGATGATAAAGTGTGAATCATAACCGGATAAGTTGTGAAAGACCATGCAATAACTGTCTTGATAATTTAGATTGCAATTGGAATGCGCGGGACCTCTGTACCGTCCAGTCAGGTGGCAATGATCGGGCACGCGTGTATCATCCTTTGCGAATGATTTCTCGCACACATGGCACAGCATAGCGTTTTGAAATGTCTCCCACTGTTCTTTCGACAAAGTTTCCATGGGGACATTTGCGGACAAAATATCCTTTACACGATGTGCCAGTTCTTCAAGTTCTTTGACAAACCATGAGATGCAATCCCGATCGCGACGACATCGATACGCGGATAATGACTCGTCGTAGGAACATCGAACGTAATATGCTATACTAAATACGCTATGATGTTGATACGCATACGAACTCGTTTGTTCTTCCCTCGGTGTCTTCTCCAGGATGCATTCCAAGTCGGCGTAAACTATAAACGGGATCCGCTCCTTCCTGCAGTAGTTGGTGAAGCTGAGCCATTTGTTGTCATCGTTTGGCAAGATGATGGCACAGTTATTCATTTTTTGACAGTCGACGGTATGGTTCTCCAGCTTCTCGCTCGAGCTGAAGTAATGTAGACATCTGGAAAAACATTATTTGTTATTAGTATATGTCACATTATACATTGCGTTCTTTGTGTATACTTACCGGTCGCAAATATGTTTTTTGTGTTCCTTTTTGCTCAGTTGTGAGCTGACGAGTCGGGACAAATTCTTGATCCACGCGAAGTGCCCAGCGTTATCATCATCTCGCGGATCTGGGATATGCAGCAGGTTGACATGCTTCTCCATTTTCTGTTCCGTAAGACGTATAGGTGCGACCACGTTCCCTTCTTTCTTTGTCGCGTTGTCATATCTCTTCTCCACACTATAAATGTTGACCGAGATATCGTTCAACCGTTCGAACTTTTTAATTTGATTTATGCGCATTGGAAATTCAATGTCCTGCATATTCAAAACCGATGTATAGTGTGGGTACGAAGATTGACGATCTGCGTGTTTGTCGGCTGGACATAACGCTGCAACCACTGCCCATGCGAAACATGCATTGTTCATAGATTGCACGTTAATTATAATGTATATTATATTGCCCGCTTCATTTTTATTTCGCGCGGTAACTCGATATGACATCCCGAATGTAATGGATTGTACTTGTTAACATTAACGGTCAGATTGAGTATGCGCGAGAGTGCCCAGCCGCTATCTCGTTCCTGAAATTCTTCCATGGACGCTAAGGTGGGTTCGATAACACGCATCGCGAACCAATTGTCTAGATCGGATGTGAAAAAAAGTTCAACGTTCCTCGTATTAATGCTCTTGTTCGCGCGTTTATCACCTGCCACAAATTCACCGTTGAACACAGTATTCACTTTTATGCTACCATGTCTCTTCATAACGCTTCGCACATGTTCGAGCACGATATTCTTCACATCTTGGAGAAATCGAAGAGGGTCGATATAGTCTGTATTTACAATCGCCCCGGTTGATATGCGACTATTGAACGCTGTATCGATTTCTCGCCAAACAAGTGTCGAATGTCCGGCTCCTGCGTATACAAAACGTCTGCGCAAAGTATTTTTTAAACCCTCGAGTTGCGCTATACGAGCAACCATCGAGTGCGCTGAACCAACCGATAGTCGTGGTTGTTTGGCTCGGCTATGCTGTTCCAACGACTCGAGACACTCGTCGCACTTTTGTTCCCATGCGAGGTATTCGTCTAGCGAGCCTAATTGAGCGACCTGGTTCTGCAGTTCACGTTCTACGGTTGATAATGATGATAATGATGATTCTGCCATTTTTCTAGCAAAACGTTGTAAACACACTGTAACTGCGCACTCTGCTCGTCTTCGACTAAACTATAGAATATTCTACTTTGAACATTTTATAACCCTTAACTCTTTCACAAATGCCATTATTAAAATTCGAGAAACTTCCTCGATGAACTATTAAACACATTCCTGAGTCTTAAACTCATATCAACTCGTTGTGGACTTTGCCTAAGTGCATGCCTTTCTTTATCTGATACAATAATAGACTTATAGACCTATGATTGGTATCAGCAGTCTGGCGTCCACTCAGTTTGTCTTCGACTAAATTATAGAATGTTCTGATTTGAACTTTTTTATAGCTCTTCTGTCTTCCACATGCGCACACACACGCACACACACATATCGTTATTACATTCTTCCTGCTTCTTTTTATCTTGTATAGTGTATTGGATGAAGTTTTTATACCGTATATAAGAATTCTGTTTTAAATATGTCATATTAGTACATACATATTGGACACAGATTACATGGTGTTATTTGGTAGACGGGGTTTCTACAGTTTGAACAAAATACACCATCAATCACATCGTGTCTTTCGGTGATGTGTTTGCGCACTGCAAATATTTCTGTAACTGTATCGCGAACGCCATCAACAAAATATGATGTGCAGAACCGTAAATTGTCTCCAGAATTATATGAAAAATAAATGCAACACACTTTTGTTTGGCCACTCAAAGTATTAATTTCTGAAACTTCTAATTTCTTCACTTTTTCATTCACTAATTGATTACTATTGTCACTATCATAATTACTATCATCCGTGAGTATATGATTTATATCTTCTTCGTCTTCTATTTCTTCGTCTTCTACTTCTTCGTCTTCTATTTCTTCGTTTTCTATTTCTTCATCTTCTACTTCTTCATGTTCTATGTTTTCACGATCCATACTGAAAGAGCTCTGACTGGTAAATACACACAAAATTAAATCTGTATGTTTCACTTTTGCCACTCTTCTCGTTATTATAACTCCCGGAAAAACCTAGCCAAAATAGTCATATCTTTACATGATGCAGCACTAAATGCTTCACAGACATCCTATGATAAGATATGCATACACTTTTTTATCTGATACCACAATAGTACTTGTAGACCTACGATTTGGTATCAGCAGTCTGGGAGGTCGACCGCTGACAAAAATATTTTGGTCAAAATGTGATATTATAATACACAGCACCATTATATTGCAGCGTTTACAAATTGTAATAAAAGTATAAATAAATTACTTTGTTATATATTATGATACATCTTTTTTACTTTAGACCAGATCCTTTCTTCCAACTTCCCCTTATCCCCTTTCTTAGGATTTTTATGTTAATTATGTTAATTATATTGATAAAAATACCTATAGATGATTGATAGACGTTCGATAGACGTTCGTGAGACGTTCGTGAGACGTTCAATAGACGTTCGAGAGACGTTGGAGAGATGTTCGATATGTAACTATTTCGGTCAAAACATACTAGTTATTTTATATAAACACTGTATATAATTTCAGTTCTCTGTATATTATTTCAGTTTGATAATTACGAGGGGACATTTAAAACACATTATATGACATTTTTTCTCGTGACGTATGCATGACATCACGGTCACCATCTTGTGTGACGTCCCACCACATTTTTTTTCTCGTGACGTATGCGTGACGCCCACCATGAGTTCCCCTTCCCCCGCGCGACGTCATACCCCGCGCCCTGAGTTCCCCGCTTCCCCCGCGCCCCCCTCAGCGCTTCTGGGTTAGAACCGGCCTAGCTATTCTACTGCGTTGAATTTTTGAAATCTCTGGGATTCATCGTACGAAACGATTGAGAAAGATGATTGACATTTTGAAAATTGAAAGTGAACCGGTCTTTGATGAGCGCATCATCAAGATCGAGACACATACGTACAACCCATACGCTAATACAACGTTTGGATATAGCGACGAGATACGAATACCCATACAGCAGCAGGATTTATACATATTGCCATGCGAGAGTTATCTCTATGTCGAGGGGAAGGTGACGAAACAAGTTGCAGTCGATGGTGCAAGTGTAACGTTGGGATATAATTGCGTTGCATTCATGTTTGATGAGATTCGTTATGAACTGGATGGTGTGGAGATTGATCGTAACAGAAACGTGGGAATAACTTCAACGCTCAAAAACTATGTATCGATGTCTTCGGACGAAAATGCTGTCATGAAAAATGCTGCGTGGGATGCGACTGACACTATTTCGCCGGATGGATACTTCAACTTTTGCGTACCACTCAGCGTGTTGCTAGGATTCTGTGAAGACTACAAGCGTATCGTGATTAACGCGCGTCACGAATTGATTCTATTACAATCGCGCAGCGACAACAACAGTCTACAAGGATCTTCAGCGCTGGATCCTAAGATTGAGCTATTCAAGATACAATGGCGAATGCCTCACGTAATCTTGAACGATATCAATAAACTTTCCATGCTGAAAACTTTGGAGAACGGACGATACCTGAGTATGAGTTTCCGCTCGTGGGATCTGTATGAATTTCTTCTACTGCAAAGCACGACCAAACATCTGTGGACCATCAAAACTGCTACTAATCTGGAGAAGCCTCGATACGTTATTTTTGAGCTGCAGACTGGTCGGAAGAATGTAATGTCGGAAAATATAGCTCGTTTCGATGACTGCAAATTGATCAATGTGAAGCTCTATTTGAATTCAGAGTGTTATCCGTACGATGACATGAATTTAGACTTTGCAAAAAATAAATGCGCCATACTTTACGATATGCATAGACATTTTCGTAAATCGTATTATGGATGCGACAGTGCTGAGGTATGGTTAGCAATTACCGACTTTCGGCGGCTAGGTCTTTCGTGGTTATCGATTGTTCGCATCAAAATGAGTCCGTCAAGAGTGCCACTGTGGATGTGCGGATAGAATTTGAGTGTAAGGAGAATATACCGGTGAATACTACCGCATATTGTCTCATCCTGCATGATCGTGTAGTTGAATACAGCCCGCTAACCAACATAGTGCGCAAACTCAACTAACATCAGAAAGTATGTACGAGAAAAGTATAATACACGAAACAAAGTGCTATAAACGGCATTTCTCTCCTGGACGTGTCGAAGAATATTTCGTCATGGATGCTCCGACATTTGTCGACTTGCAAGGATTCATGGAGAGAGATTTATTGTAAAAGAAGCGGCGATACTGAAGAACGGCACTATTCTTTCGCATCTTCACGAGTCCGATGCCATGGCATCTGCTCACAAGATCGGACAAATCGAGGGCCTACTGGTTAACTGCTAATCATCATGGATTACGATGGGAAGATGGAACCGTCAAATACTGCAGAGCTAAACATCTGGTTACTGCAGCTGTGGCGGGTGATATGTATAACAAACTTGAAGACGATGTATCTCAATTTGTGTATGTGAAAGGACATGAGAAGCGGAAATGGTTGTTACAACTTCTGGATGACAATGCGAGAAGCAGCGTGATCATTAAGACCATGGACATCGATTACGACGATATGCCTTCCCTGCAAAAATTGAATAATACTTTTCGATGTAATAATCATATGAAAAATTGTGCATTACAGAATGTACTAAATATTTTCAATTGGTGGTCTCGAAGAAAATTGTATGACACTATATAATAAATCTAATAATCATTATTTCAAATGTGCAGATGTTTCTTTCTCTTATCCCCTTTCTTAGAATTTTATATGGTAATTGCGTTGATAAAAATACTTCTTTATTTGCGGTATGATGCTTATTAGACGTTCGAGAGATGTTCGATTGACGTTCAATAGATGTTCGATAGACGTTCGATAGACGTTCGATAGACGTTCGATAGACGTTCGATAGACGTTCGATAGACGTTCGATATGGCGCAGTAAACGAAGGGCTAAGGGGATTTGAGTCTGACCTAGTTCCGACTTATTTTTTCGCTCATGACGTCATAATGCCCACTCTAAGAACCTTCACTAGACGTCTAATAGCAACAGGCGACGGTGG